TCCCTCCCTCTGTCTGGGCTAGTGGTGCGAGTTTTTCCAGTCCATCAATGGGACTACGGTCAAATACATCACTAGAGGGAGACTCCTTTCCTGGGCTAAACTCTAAAGAATCAGGAGACTTGGTGGGGGAGGTTTCGGTTTCATCGAGAGGCGGGCACAAGCCTACATAACTCTGATGTTTGGAAACTTTGCTGATCTCTGAATAAGTAACTTTGTCATCTTCTATCGAATTAAAGTGCTGTGTCTCAACTGTCTCTTTACTTATACTTGGTTGGGGCAATTTTTGTGATAGTTCATGTTTTGGGAATGTTGACGGCTCACAAAAACCATCGGGAATTCTAGAAGACAGCATTCTCCTCTCATCAGCAACCCTGACTGGGATGTGTGACACTGGTGTGCTCTCGCTCCTCCTGGAGGGCTGGTCAAGAGGTCCACCTGGACGTTCCCCTTCTTTAACAACATATTCCCTGTATAAGACTTTTTTGGAGGGCGATTTTACAGTCATTTCCTTAATTTCCGAGAGAGAGCCATTTGTTAACAATTTATGTTCTCTCTCAGTCACAGACATAAATTCATTCTTTTGATCAACACTTTTACTCTCAGGGTGACCAATGTGATTCTCTCTTACATCATGAACAAGTACATGCGAAAGTTTTTCTTTCTGAGACTTATTGTTAGTGGCTCCAGAACTTTCCCATGTTCTAAAGATCTTTTTGTCCCATGGTCCCTTAGTTGCTAAATCTGAGGTAACATGACATGCCAAGTCTCTAGCCTGTGGCTCAGAAAAATAGTCAGACATGGCCTTACTTGACATTTCAGTTCTCTGTCTTTTCACATCATCAGAGGCAGAATCATTTACAACAATCTCATTGCTTTGGGCATGCTCATCTTTAGCTTTTAAAACCGTAAGCTCTTTTTGCCCAGATACACTTTCATCTGAGAGGTCTACAGCCTTCTGCTGTTTTTCTCTAGCAACAACTTGGTAGACCGGTAGTTTGCTCTCCTGCATTTTTTTAACAGGGATTCTGGATTGGCCGTCTGGCTTTTTGTCTTCTTGAGAGGTGTCCTTGGTTTTCGCCTGTGTGCCTTGTTCAAATTTTAATCTAATGGAACTGAGTTTAGATTGTTTGA